ATACAATTTGAACTCTAAACTATAAATTTAGGAACCATTTGAACCACAAACTATTATTTAACACATTTTAAATTATAAACAATTAAAATTAATGCAATTTTACTTTCATTGTTAAATTAAAGTAAATATCTGTTATTTAAAAAAAATAGGTTTAATGAGCTACATAGGGTAGGAGAGTGAAATTTGGTAAGAATCGTATATTAAATATCATTTTTTAATCAAATGATAGACATTTATTTTAATTTAATGGTAGGTTGAAATTACATAAAATTTAATTATTTATGATTTAAAATGTGTGAAATAATAGTTTAGGATTTAAATTATTTCTAATTCTGTAATTTAAGATTTAAACTGTATATTAACCTAAAAAAATGTAGAGGATCTCAATCGGTTTGATGCTATTGGTTTGAAAAAATATAGACGCAGACGTTGTTATTTTATTGGTCGGATGGTTTCTGAGTCATTACTTTCGTATTTTACTGACCTGCACGGCACGCAAATTCCATCTTCACGTGTCTAGCTTCGTAGTTGAATGGTGCAATTAAAAAAAAGGTATATGAGATGTTTTATGGCATATTTTTTAATCCCTTTTCGATTTATTATATCAAATCTATTTTTAATTAAACCTCTTAAAGAAAAAAATTACCGTGCATTCCATGAGCATGGAGGAGGAGAACTTGTTCTCATTTTGTTTTAATCTCACTTTTAAATATATCCCATGAATTATTGGCTGGCAAAATTTCATATTAGAAAATATTTTAGAGCAAAGTTAACTTAACTACAAACAAGTGGCAAGCATCTTAATGATGAAAAATTGAAAAATTAAAAGTTAAAGCATCCAATTCTTGTATAATACTCATTCCGTTCAATTTATAAAATAATTTTAAATAAAATTATACATGTTAATGAAGTTTATTAAATATAATTTACAATCTTAACTTTTTTACAAACTGTCTTTATTTTGGGATAGTATTTCACTTTTAAAAATATCCTATAAATTAAGATACTAAAAATAATATCTATTACTTCCTCTATTGCTTATTATATGTTCCAATTTAAAAATTTCCTTTATAAAAAATCCAAACTATCTATCTCACTCATGATATTTAAAAAAGCACTATTTCCCTAATTATTTAATTAAAGGTAAGAACAAAAAAGAAAAGCTAGTTTTACCAATCACATGAATTTTAATATATATTTAATTTATGTATTTTTCAATTATTTATTCTAAAATTATAAATAAATTACTCTTTTGTCCTAGATTACAGGGCATTTTTTGGCAGAATTGCACATATAAATAAAATTTATTAAATATACTTCACATTATAATTTTTTAAAACATAAATATAAATTTTTAAAAATACTCTTTAATTAACATAACCTTATTTTTGAAACATTAAAGAGAATGACAAGATATAATTAGAAAGGAAAAATAATATTAAACCTAACACTTCCTCCATCTTAAATTATAAATATTTTTTAATAAATTTTAATATTTTAAAATATAAAAATTTTAATAAAAATAAAATTTTATTAGTGATATTTTTTAATATTATATTTTTTATATATTATCCCTTTTTAACATTTTTTTGAAATAAAATAATAAATGAAAGGTGTTTTTAAAAGTTTATATTTTTATTTAAAAAATAATATCATAAAGTATATTTAATGAGATTTTATTTAAAAATATTTTATAAATTGAGATGGAGTATGTATAATTAATAAAATATGAATTTTAACAAAATATTTTATAGTTTGAAATATCTTATTAATGTTAAAAAAAATCTTATTTAATTTTGTCATTTTGTGAAGTGAGTCTCGCATGTGCCGGATCTGCCTTTGTGTCATTAACATCAGCCGCCCCTTATGATTGCCCCGGAAGTGGGTCTTTTCACTTTCTTTTCTTCCATTTTTCTACTTCTCTCATCCTTACCATTTATTAATTTTTTTATTTAAAAAAATTGTTTAATAATAAAATTTAAATGATGGAGATGGAAAAAATCGAGAAAAAGGGAGAAAAAAAAAGGGAGAGATCTGGTCTTGATTGCCCCACCCCTCCAAATGGGACTCGACTTTGATCCCCCATGCTTCATGGCTCCGCTGAATAGTAATGGAACATGCATAGTTTAAATTAAATTTTTAAGGTCTAAATTTAATATTTTATTTTTATCAAAATAAAAATTTTAAAAATAGTAATTTTTTGAATAAATCTGATTACACAGTATGTTTAATATTTAATTTTTTAGAAATTAATTATCCAAACATTAATATTCTAAACAGTTCAGGTTTAATATAAATTGTTCATATTTAATATTAAAAATTAAAAAAACTTAATTTAAATTCCTATACTTTATTTAAATTTTGCTATAGGTACTGTATTTTTTTTAATGTTCTAAGTTTTTATATTTTTATTTTTAAGTGTTATAAGTCCCTCGGTGTTATACGCACCTAGAACAACAACAAAAACAAAAGCATGAGAATTTAAAATATAAAAAAAGTGCATGGGCCTATAACATAATTTGAATAAAATGTAAAAATTTAAAGTTATATTTTTCTTAAAAATTTTATAAATTAACTACTTAGATATATTTTAGATAGTGCAGATATCTACTAACAAATACTTTTGAAAAAAATTATTATAAAAAATTGGATCATTAATATTAAATGTAGATTATTCAAATTGATAATTAGATTTATTAAAATTTTTATTGTATTTATATTTTTTTAATAAAAAATAAAATATCAAATTAGGATTGCTTAGATTCTCCTGTTGTGCTGAGGAGCATCCGAGGAGGGAGGTGTCAGAGGAGCAGATACATATCCCTTCAAATGACGGTCCCTCCCGCAGCACTCCTTTTCCAATCTTGTTACTTCTCCATTTATTTCATTTTTCCTCGTATAAAATATTTTACAAATATATCAGTGGATTTTATCTCAAAAACTCTTCCTCATTTAACTGATGAAGAAAGTGTGAGTTATAGATGCTACTATTAAATGAAGTGTGGTTTTAAAAGTTTATACTCTTTTTTTTTTGTTAACAGAGTAAATAGGATTTTAAATTATTTTTAAAAAAATCATTTTAAAATTTTAAAATATATAAAATGAATTTTAAATTTTTAAATTTATAACAAAATAAGCCATGACTGTTAACTTTTTAATACTGTTATTATCCACATAAGTACTGTTTAATGTTTATTGTCCTATAAATTTAGCCTTGACTGTTACAATACTCACATGGACAGTAACAGTATTAAAAAAGTTAATAATCAGATTTATTTTGTTACAATTTAAAAGTTTAGAATTTATTTTATATATTTTAAAAGTTTATGGTTTAGGACAATTTTTGAGCAAGAGTTCAGGATTCTATTTGCTCATTAACCCCCTTTTTTTAAATATAATTTTTAGTCCTTATAATTTTATCATATTTTACTTTTACTCCCTATTATTTTTTGGATTTTTAGTCCTGATAAAGATTAAAAACTATATGGACTTGAAAAACAAAAGCCATACAATTTTTTTTTTGAAACTATAAAGGTTAAAAATACTGAAAAAATTATATGAACTAAAAAAAAATCTAATCAAATTATAGGACCAATGACAGTGTTTTTTTTTTTTGCAGAGATTAATATTTTAAATACATTTAATTGTTTTTAATGGTCTTTACAATTTTTGAAAAGACATCTTATAAAAGGTAACATACAAGGTTTGTACTTTTTAATAGCTACTATCCTTGATTTTGGACATGAGAAATACTGTTGGTTTTTACTATATGGACTGAGAGAATCATCAAATAACTTAAGTTTCTGCAAAATCAATCTATTCCTTTTCTAAAATGTCCATGTGTTCTTTAAATGAAAATTATTTGACCGCTAATAAGTATATCAATAAGTGATAAAATTAAAAACAAAACATTTAATACTTTCGTGAAATATGAAAATGACACTTCGTTTTGAAGCATGAAAAAGAGATTTTTCGTGACACTTATTTATTACAAAATGGAGGGGGTGAATAGAATAACGTACAACCTCACCAGAGTTAAGTAATTATCCTTTTTAAATGTATCACAAATTGGCATTTTTTTCGAAACAAACGCCTCTAATTCAACCGTTCAAACTTTTACTTCACATTCATTGATTTCTAATTACCACTCTATATTATGAAAGGTACAAAGTACAGTTGAAATAATATGATTAATGTATTAGGCACGGACTTTTTATTTTATCCATTTTATACTTTCTAGCAAAACAAGTGTCCCACAAATGTGAAAGGAATATTCTATTAAAATATTTTATATTTTTTTAAGCCACTCAAAATATAATCATTTATCAAATATTAATTCTTGTACTAACTACTGTTGCTCTTGGAGCACCAGCCCAAGCACAAGTTTTGAATTTGAATGTATAAAATTCTTTTCATTTTAAATTATAAAATATTTTAAAAAAATTGATATCTTAAAATATAAAATATTTTAATAAAAATAATATTTCATTAATAATGTTTTTAATATTATTATTTTTATTATATTATTTTCCTTTAATATTTTTTATAAATAAAATATTAAATTAAAATTATTTATAAAATATATTTAATAAATTTTATTAGTATAGATAATTTTGTTTATAAATATATAATAGAAGAAAGTAGTAGTTTTTTTTCCCTCTTTTATCCCCTTTTTCCTGCTGGTATCCTTTCGTTCAATTTTTGTGGGAATAAATGAGCGCGTCTCGGCTCAAGCACTTGCGTGACTGTTGGGCTTGAGATCCAAAATCAAAAAATTCACTCTCCTTCAACTACCCACGCCTCTGTTTCTTCGCTGCTCTCTGCATCCTTCACCCTTCCTATAACTTGGCTTCTCAATTTATAGCGCCAAATTATCTGAGCTTCTTTTCCCCTCCACAAATGTCTCTTCCTTCATAGTACCCCAACGCCTTCTTCTTATTCTTGTTCTTCCTCCCACCCTGTTCCTTTTCTCTTGAACAATTCTAAAAGGTTTTGCCCAAATGGGTTGCTGTGAGAGTACTAACAGAGATCTATCCTCAGCTTCATCCTCGCCAAAACACCAGATTTCTCTTGTCCGCAAGAACCAGGTGCCACTGGGATCCAATTCTTCTTCCTGTACCAAAGCTTCAGAAAACAGAGCACCCCCTGACGTGGAGACTGTCAAGGAAGTTCTCTCAGAAACCCACAAATGGAAGCCCCGAATCACCAACTTGGAACCTCAAAAGACGCCTCAGAAATCCCAATTCCATAAGTTTCCAGAAGTGAACAGCAAGATCAGCAAGGTGCCGCTGCCCGTGAAAAAGGAAGAAGAGATCTCTGAGGTTTCGGAGGTTTGCAGCTTGAGCGAGAGTATGATGTCGACCACTACAATAGCTGACCGGAAAGAAGAGGATGACGAAATCCGCCAAAGGGTTAGCTCGTCTCCGGCGAAAATGCGGAAAAATCGATCCTTTTCTGGCGACGGAAGGGAGAGGATTGTGGGCAAATCTCCGACCAAGAGGCCGGAGCAATCCCCGGTTCGGAGGAATATCGGGTCGGCGAGGCTAACTCCAAGCAGAGACCAACTAGTTCGGAGTCAAACAATGGGCAACAGAGGAATGAGGAACGAGCCTCGCGGGCGGAACGCCGTCGAGAATTCCTGCCGGAGATCCAGGTCGCCTGCCATGCGCACGGACAACGGAGCCACTAGATCCGTCATGGGTCGGAGCCCATCGAAGAGAAGACCAAACCAGTCCCCTGTCCGTACCCGAGCCGCCACACCAGAGCGTGTCAGCCGGAGGAAAGAACATCCTGGAACGGAAGGCAAATGGCCGTCAGCGGCGGCGAACGAATCATTGGAGAACCCTCTTGTGTCACTGGAATGCTTCATATTTCTCTAAAGAATTCATCCAATTCCAAGGTGGCGGGACTGGTGGCACCTCCATTGCCGCCGGAGTGTTGGGGAGCTGAACGACGAGTCGTATATCAAATAAAAAGTTCTGTACTGGAATATTTGCAGTTAATGTAACATGAGGGTGTAAATATTTCTAAGTCAAAGGTCAATTGTAGGACATAGAGGAGGGGGCAGGGTATGGCAAGGCCTAAAGTCCTTAACTACGAATCGAGTATCTCAACAATTTATCCTGATGTTAACTTTTGGATACTGGAATACGTAACTGTTATTAGTTTACTGACCCGTTATCATTTTACATCATTGCTCTGTTTTCTCTTCTGCAAGTTGATTCCTTCTATTGCAGGGCTTCCCAGGTAAGGAAAGATTGCGTTTCTGCCATTTAGGATTCTCTGTGTATCAAGAGGCTTAGCTTCCCTTCCAGGACCAATCAAATACTACTACTCAATGGTTGCAATAATTTGTTCAGTACACACACTAGTAGGAAGAAGAATCGTACAATGACATAACTGTACTAAAGTTCTTTATGCAGAGAAAAGAAAATGGGTAGGGTAAATTTGCAAGGATATAGAAATTTTTTCTGGGCCAGTTAGGAAGTGTATTTATGGAGGTAAAATTTCCTATTTCATCACATGCACCGGATTCGACTGGTTTCAATTGGCAAGTAGCAACGCCTATCATGGTCAGCTGTTCCTGTGTGTAATGTTTATTAGCAAAACACTTTCATTGTTTGAAAAGTCAGAATTTACAAGAGTAACTACACTCATTAGTGAGTCAAATTTTGTTCCTATTTTCAACAAGCATGGACGAAGAAACTCAATATTACAGTAAACTTATTTCAGCCTGCACTAGATTTGGTTGAGAGATGGATGGAAAATTCATAACATAGCCGTTACTTGAGGGGAAAAATTCATGGATAGTGGTCCACTGATATTATAATAATAATACCATCGATGCTCCTTTTCTCTTTGTGGGCTTCTGGTGTCTTAATACTAGATATGTCATTTTGGATTGTTTCGCAGGTCGTCTCTTTCAGTTATCATGTGGAAGTGGAACGATTTGTTTGTTTTTTTTTTTTTTGGAGGGGGGGAAGACGAATGTCTCATTATAAAACCTCCGGAGTTCTTTTTGTAGACAAACAATATATATATATATATACACACGGATCGATGATTTTGGCGTTATTTAGTTTTGGGATTATTCATCAACATCTTCCACTACCACTACTGAAATTCAAAACGTAAATCACGGGTTCTGGCTACAGTTGAAATTTGCCCTTGGGGATTTGGAATTTTGGTCAATAAAATGTCAGTGGAAGAAGCACTTCGGCCTGCTTTGGCTAGGAGTACTAGTAAAGGGCCTATATTTAATATACTTATATTTGAACAGAAGGATTACTCACATTGGACTGCTCTGAAAAATAGCAATTTGGGAACAAAATGAAGCGATACTTCTTTGTCCACAGAGGAAGCAAAAGCATAGACTGTATCAGTTGAGAATTTCCATTCTTGTGGGTGGGCTCAAAATCACTAGCATAGTCTTGATTAAAAAAAAAAAAAAGTAAAACCCATCTTCTCTAATTTGAAAGAGAGAAGTAACATGAATAGTCGCAGGAGGCTACTCTATTGAAGAACTATTCCAAAAACAAAAACCAACGAGGTAGAGCGAACTGGTATGGATTTAACTAATGAATCAGGGAGCGCGCGCTGTGTGTGTGAGAGAGACTAGTGAAGAAAATATCTGATAATGATCTCAGAACCCCACTTGCTGTCTACATTTGAGTCCGACAAGTTTAGAGAGGGCACTGGTGGGCCATCATCCCATAAAAGGTCCAGTAGACTGAGCCCATGCTTGCCTTTTCATAGGTCCATTACTGATCCTTATGTCCAACGCAGACCAAGGCATAGAGCTGGAGGCAAAAGAAACTCAACAAATATTAAGAATTTGGTTTTTGGAACTGTTAAAGTTTTTTATCTACGCTGGAGAAAAATTAAAAATGGTCAAATATAAGATGTTGGCGTGTGAACGAACGAACGAGCAAAGAGAAGACCAGAGTCATGGATGGCCAATGTATGATGAACTTCAATCCAGCAACAAGCTCTTACCTACCAGAGTAGAAGTTAAAAGGCCACAGCTTGATTCCTTTTTACAAGGTTTACAATTTTGATAGGGAAGAATTACAATATGGAGAAACCATTTAACACTCATCCTCCAATTCCATGATCATGGACAAGAAAAAGGGACGGAATTTGATCTTAAACCTTGATAGCCTCACTGTCAAACCCAGTTTCCCCTACGCTATTTACATGCTAGGAAAAGGCACTGCTCCGAGTAAAAATATAAGTAAAACCTCAAGAACAGTCCCAATTCTTGTTTCTCTGTCTTCAAAGATGCTTCACCAATTCTTGTTCTCTAACTCATACTTGGTTAGTAATAGAGATGGCGTTGGAGGTGGAACAAGGTGATGATTTGTGCTCGTGGGAAGGCCACATAACTCGTTCAGGGCAACACGGTATTGGAGCTGGGTGAGCGATGAATCTGGGAATCTCATCTCCAGGCATCAGAACTGAAAGCCCACTGGAATACACACTCATCTGCAACAAGACAAGGAAACCAAATGAGTTGACGAGGCTTCACCTCATGAGTGATATCAGGTTCAGGAGATTATTGATTTGAAGATGAACAAAACCAAATGCATTTATGGCAACATTACACAATTCACAAGTGAAACAAAAAAAGGGCCTGACGCACTAGATTTACAAGGTCCACAGAATCTTTCTCCTGTTTCACTTTGCTCAGACCAGAATAAGATTAAATATTCCTACACAACAATGGAGAGAGCTTTCAATTTGAGAAGCTATCATCAAAGATCTTGATTTGCCTCCGAAATATTTCAGCACCCAGCATATGTTGACATCAAGTCTGACTTATATTTTTCCCTTGATTTACACTTTAATCCCCTCTGCTTCCTTTCTAATCCACTTTCCCTCTGAGATCCTTAAGCCCCAAAACACTCTGATCCAAAGCTTTCTGAGATCATTTCCTATGAATAACCAGTTATTAAAATATTCATTGCCATATCTCTAGCTCCCTGTTCATTCCTCCTCCAACAAAATGCTGTACTTCGATATTACACAAATTTTGCTCACAAGAAAAATGTTGCCCAATATGGTTTCCCTGAGTAATATCACAACCATAAACAATAGTAAAAGATAAAAGAATCCCCTTCAGAATCCCAAGTAAAATAAGCTTTTCATCAGATTACTTATTCTGCACTCCATTAACACCATGTCCATCATAAGATAATGTAATCTAAATGTCAAACAATTAAACTATGAAATTCTATCCTAATGGAATTTGAGAACTTTTTCATCCACAAGTCCAACGTTAGAGAATCATGATGCTATAGGCTATGCATCAATCCTCTCATTGAACACGGAGGCTGGATGAGTAAGTGGGCCTACCATGTCCCCATAAAAGATTGGCATGAGGTAGACACCACAACGGTTGGAGAGTAGTGGCTCATCATAGGATACTGCATTGAAATTTTGAATATTATAATGACATTCACACTTTTATCTACTAGCAACTAGTATGGTAGAGGTAGACAATTAATGTTATAAGATAAGAAGAAAATAAATAGGACATGGCTTGAAAGGTTGACCATCTGTCTCCAACCACAGACACAGGCCATGCACGGTATCATTAAAGATTGGGAGTGATGGGAGGGAGGGACAATAAGGACAACGGTGGGACTTATTACAAAGATGTTCATATAAAAGTCTTAAGACTGATGGCTAGAGATTAGAGAGTAGAGAGACCAATCATTCAGAAGAAAACTCCAAGGGAGGACCATCTGGTGACTGAAGACAGCACAGTTTGATTATAATGAAAGATTTTGGCAGAACGTGTAAATGAAGATGAGAACGAAGTTAAAAACTTTGGTGGGGTTAGGGTAGAACTCCAAGATTCAATGTCGACAAAAATCAGAAAAAGGAAAAACCTGAGATTTTCAGATGCCATTCAGATTTAACATCGTTCACTCTATTCTTAATAATGAAGGGAGCATGGGGTATGGTCGGGTGGGTAGTACCTTTCTTAACCAAATCAATCATCATCAATCCATAAACAAATATTTTATACTCAGACGCACGCGTATTGAAGTTTGGCCAATTGAAGAGAGGATCAACATGTACAGTAAAATGCTATTTTGCATTTAAGCAGAAAGAAAGAGAGCAAATGAAACAGGAAAAGAGTAACCCAGGAAGATGGAGATGTAGATCGAAGGACAGAAACTGTTTGAATTAGTCATGAACCTCGGAGAAACTACATTAGAGTGGGGAAAACAGAGCAAGACTAATAATTTTCTTCACAGATCCAGCACTCTAATAAACTAAGAGTTGATAGCTTAAGCAATTTATGAAAGAGGCATTTAAATGAGGAAGATTTCAAGAACAGGCAAGCATACTAGCAATATAAAAAAAAAAGTAATAAAAAAAACAACGAAACCTTTCGTCAGAGATAATTATCAACTTCCTCAGAAACGAGAGTAACCACCCAAATTATCATTCCAAGCTAAACAAAGTACGCAGAATTTCCATAGGGAAGAAAGAGCATCTCACATTTCCCAGTTAGGTTCAGGAGAACCTAAACTGAAAAAGAAAGGACGAGCTAAAAAGGAAAAAGCCTCTACATGCTAAAAACTTCAAATCTAAAACGAATGACTCACTTTAGGGGATGGGAAACCAAGCTTCCCCATCTGCTGTGACTCAACATCGCCTCTGCTCCGGCTACCTGGCGGCGGCGGCGACGCCACCGGCGAGGCAGGTCTGAGGAACCTCTCGAAAATAGCCATAATCAAGAACATGGAAATGAGAATGGCGGTGGCAACAAAGCCAAACGACACGGCATTGACGGAACTGTCGAAGCTGCTCCAATGTTCGTCTCTGGGAACAGTGAGAGGAGCCTCCATGGGCGGCCACCCAACATAGTTATGGTCCTCCATCACCATTGTTGCAGCTAAAGCTAGCAGCTTTTGACCATAGTAATAGTGTAACGTAGAGTGGAATTCGCAGGGAAGGTGAAGAGAGAAGAGACTGTTTACACTAGTGCAGTGGTACTCGGAGAGTAGGAGTGGAGTGTGGCAGGGGTAAGGATTTACGCCATTACCGAAGCTCGTTGGAGTACTTAAACTTGGAAATTAAGGGCCTTTTGGAGGGGAAGGTGGGGCGAGAGAGAGAGAGAGAGAGAGTAGCCGAAGGTGAAAAAAATGAAGAAGCTTTGGAATTTGGATGATTCTTGGTCTTCGGCTTGCTGACTATCACTATTCACCAGCGCAGAAAACTCCCTGACTGTAAAAGTTTGACCCTGTACTTGTTTTTAAACCTTGTTTTATACTACAGCTAAAGCAGTACATACAAATAAAAATCACAAAGGATAATATCTTTAAAATAATTTTTAATCATATATTCGCTAGTATTAAATTATAAGATATTTTTAAAAAATATTTAATATATTAAAATATAAAATTTTTGATAAAAATAAAATTTTATTAATAAAATTTTTAAAATACATTTAATAAATTTTATTTATATATATAATTTTATTTAAAAATATTTTATATGGACAATATATTTTAAAATATTACTTTCTGTAACCCTTCTTATCATGAAATTCAAGAAGTGAGACATCTTTGTATTTTTATAAAAGTTTATTTTGTGTATAAAAATATAAGAAATGTCATGATTTAAGAGACTTTTAAATAATTGAATAATTTTGCTTTTAATATCTTGACAGTACAAAAGATATTAATTGTGTATATTTATTATTATGATATTAATTATGATATTATTATTAAAAAATTAAAAAATCATTGATTTTTTTACCTTTTCCTAATGTGGGAAAACAAGCTAATCTATCTGATTGAATTAATAAACCATTAATTTAGTATCTTAATTGATTTGATAAAATGCTTTGTTCATGATCAATTTGATTATGATTCTATTATATTTTCTCTGGTCCTATTTATGTAATAAAAATAAATTTTTTAAGTAAGTTTTAATCATATACTCACTGGTATTAAATTATAAGATATTTTTAAAAGATATTTGACATATTAAAATATACAACATTTTGATAAACATATAATTTTATTAATAATTTTTTAAACTATATTTAATAAATGTTATTTATATATATAATTTTATTTAAAAATATCTTATATGGAGGAAATGTGTTTTAAAATATTACTTTTTGTAACCATTCTTCTTATCGTGAAATTTAAAAAGTGAGACGCCTTTGTGTTTTTTAAAAATTTATTTTGTGTATAAAAATATAAGAAATTTCATGACCCTGGAGACTTTTGAGTAATTGAATAAATTTGCTTTTATTGTCTTGACATTGCAAAAGATATTAATTGCATATACTTATTACTGCAATATTAATTATGATATTATTATTAATAAAATTAAAAAATTATTGATTTTTTTAGCTTTTTATAATAGGGGAAAAGAGTCAACCTGTCTGACTGAATTAATAAACCATTAATTCAGTATCTTGATTTATTTGATAAAATGTTTTACTCATGGTTGATTTGATTATGTAACAAAGAGATTTTTTTTTTGTTTTATTCATATGTTACCTCATTAAATTTTTATCATAAATTTTTTCATTTAAACTTCATGAAATATTAAAGAGAGAGAAAATATATTATTAAAGTATATATATTTAATAAGAATACAGTTAATAAATTATTAAATTTTTAAACATAGTTAATAAATTTTAATATTTTTTAATTTAAATAAAATATGTTAAAAGTGCTTTATAAATAATATAAAAAGAGTAATTTTAATCATTAACTATTAAACTGTACCTTAATTGGTTCAGTGATTATTTTAGTTTTCAATATTTTAAATTTTATAATTAAATAATAAACTTTTATTGATAGATGTGATTAGATAACTAAATTTAGGGGGAGGGAGTATGTTATTGGTTTTATGTTATACATAAACTAAATGAAAAACATTTCGCCAAAAAAAAAGTGAATGAAAAATAAATTATTTTTATAACAACATTATTATAAAATTAAGCAATTAAAAAATAAAAATACTAGGAGAAGAAGTAGAAAGAAGAGAATGAGAGGATTTTTTATGGATTATTATGTCCTTTAATATAAATTACATACTTTATTTATAAGTATGATCTTATGTATCAAAGGTTGTATAAAATGATAAAAGCAAATAAAAGACAATCATCTCTTATGATAGTGAAAGTTTTATAAAAAAAAATGAAGTTGGAGACGTGATGAAAATAAACATTTACTATCCTTGTAATATTCCTAACAGACATTATATTTTTAACTGATAATTATATTTCTTGTGATTTTTTCTAAATTAATGTTTATTATATTACAATGTGGATTTAAGTGGATTTTTTGAACCGGCGAACTTTTGTTGAGTAAAAGTTTAAATTTTTAGGATGTGATAATTTTAGACAATCAAATCATTTAACAATCTTTACATAGAAATATTTTTAATTTTAAAATTTTCAGCCATATTAAAAAAATAATAGAGGTGCCAGATGTTTTAAGCTGCACATGATTTATAGGTTTTTAGTTTTATAAATTTTTAATATTTACAGAAAACTCAAGAATCATTTTTTGGCCAATACACAAAACTCAAAATCATCAAATAATAAGCAATTTGAAATTTTTATAGACCAGTAAAAAAAAATAATAATGCAATAAAAAATAAAATAATAATATGGGGAAAAATGTTGGTAAGCCGTTCTTACTGTTAAATTTTTTTTTCCGAAGAAAAACTATTTTTTAATTTCTTTTGCCAACATTTTGCTCAAAAAAAAAAAATTCTTTTGCCAACAATTAGCTTTCGTTCCTAATGCGTAATATTAATACGGATGCTTTACATACATACATATATATAGAGGACATGAAATAGCATTTCATTAATTATTCTTTCCAAGACCAACAATACGAACGATATTACTCATAAACTAGTAATTCATAAATTGTGAACCATGTAATTTATTTTTCAATTTTTAAGATGAAAAAAATCGTTTGGTTGTCATATTTAGAGATTTTAATTGTATTAATTAAAACGCAACATAGTTCATTTTTAATATTGGAGGATGTGAAGTAGTATTGAGATAAGAAAGAAGGGCCTTTTTATGATGCTTTTGATTAATGGAAAACAACATTCTGCGTGTCTAATCAATTTCTGAATCATTGAAATTTGCATGGAGGCTGGGAACATGAGATGACCCAGAAAATGCTTCCACTTTATTTTTATTTTTTAAAAAGATGCTTTTTTTATTAATCAATAATTTAAAAGTGGATGTCCAATCAAATTTCGACAAAACTTTTAATTAACACGTTGTGACTAATTTCCCAATCAAACGACACCACTAAAGTATCACACTTCCCTTTCACCTTCCCTTGAAATTGAAAGCCCCACGCCCATATTTATTAAACTATTTTTATATGATTTGTTTGGATTATATTTCAATCATCCGATTGTTTAACAAATACTATTGAGAATAAAATCTCCTTTTTTTAATTTAAAATAATGTTTAGTGCAATTTAGCCCGACCAATAAATATAATATTAATAGCCACTGTCTTGTGGCCATTCTTCATTCTGTCGTTGGCTTGATTGATATTTTCCATAGGTATAAAAAAATAAAACAAATTTTAAATTTTGAACCGTTAAAATTAAAATAAAAAGGAATTATATTTTCGGTGGATTGATGGCTGCTGCCACTTGTGGTCCCAAATTGGGCCCTCCTTGTAGCGGGCCCCGCCGGGCGCCATAATCCCCTTGGTGGGCCCCACTCCCTAAATAGCAGAATAGCAGTTCCCTGCTTTTCTCAGTACTTTTTTAACCTATTATCAAACCTCGGCCGAAAAAAAAAAAACAAAAAGAAACAATAAAAGGCCCACATTTTCTCACTCTTTATATATATATATATATATATATATATTAAAAAAAAACTCACAAATAGCAAAGGGAATGATTAAGATTTTTTTTTTTTTTTTGGGTTCAGAAACAAATAGGAAGCTAATGACCAACCTGAAACATTAATCTGGAGGCAAACAAATGACATGGCCGTCATATCTAGTTTGCTACTGCATTCCATTTCTCATCTTGTTCACTTCGATGTTTATATTTATGCCTTTAATTTTTTTAAAGTATAAAAAATAGGCTTTGTGGATAATAGAGTATATCTTCCCCTAAAATACAGAGAATGACAAATTGACATCTCTTAAGTTCCAACTAAATTGCTACATATATAAATTAGAATTTGAAGTTTCAACTATTTATTTAAATGAATATTACCTCTATTACTTTTGCTAACTTTAATTAGTTAAACTTTTGTTTTTCTAATGACAACTCAATATTTTGGACCTGTCTTACGTTAAGTTGTGAAATTTATATTATTGACATTCATATATTCCTAAAACTTGAAATCCAGATGTGGTATCTAATTCATTTCTCTACGTCTTCTCCGCAATTCCCTTGTTTTAAAATCCATCCGATGAGTATAAAATACAGCTGTAAGGTAATGTTTGGCATTTTGCTGAGAAGGAAATGAGAAAGACCAATTCTGTTTCGCATTTTATTTTGAGAAAATATTTTTTCCCATATTAAATATTGCATAAATTTTAATATATTAACAGATGAAGTAATTATTATTGTTGAATGAGGAATAACCAACAAGAGATCCGAAGAGAGGCACAGGATCCCCCACCAAACACAAACACACTTTGAATTCTTTCGTTTTCTTTCTATCATGTTTCCCTGTCCCCTTCATTTCCTTTACCCTCACACTTTCCTCACTCCAAACATCACCATACAACTGGCACACACGCCCAAACACAAATCAAAATATGTACATATTTCTTTTTTCTTTTTAAAAACAAATTATGCATTAACAAATTAGGAAAAATAATCCCATGTTATTTGTACTTTATCTAAAACAGGGGAATGCGTTGTATTTAATTTTCTTGGTTGATAATATAAATATTTTATTTGTTTTCTATTATATGCAACCTTTAATCAACTCACCGTGGAACATGGAGTAGAAGTTAAATCACCAACCTTATATAAAAATAAAATAAATTTTTGAACTTACCAGTACTTAAATAAAAAATTAATTAATAACATCAAGTTTATCATAACTTTCCTAAACAGCAAGCACATGACCGCTGTTTCATTGTCTGTACTGGGGATCCTGTATTAAATTGCCACGTGTCGAGTCCACACTCATTCATCTTCCCCGCCACGTGGCATGATGGATTATTGGATC